TAATCAGTGGGATCTTTGGCATGCTCGTATGGGACACCCCAGCAAGGACACGCTGGTAAAGACATAACGCTCAACAAAAGGAATTCCAATTATCAAGCAAAATGAAGAAATATTATGCGCAGGGTGTCCAAAGGGCAAGCAAACAGTCACGGTAATTTCATCTCGCTCAATGACACAAACGACACGTTTTCTGGAACGCGTACACACAGATGTCATGGGGCCTATGAGGACTTCCTCGAAGGGTGGTGCCAAGTACATTCTTACGTTAGTGGATGATGTTTCAAGATATGTGGCGATTTCTATAATCAAGAGCAAGCGTGAAGTGACTGGCAAATTCAATGGGTTTCTGACGCTTTACAAGAACCAATGGGGTGCGCGACTGAGGTGTTTACGATCTGACAACGGAACCGAATTTGTAAACAAGACAATGGCTGGAATATGTCAACAGGACGGCATTGTACACCAGCGTTCCGTTCCATACAGCCCTCAGCAGAACGGAGTGGCCGAGCTTGTGAACAAGGCTATCATGTAGAAGGCACGCAGCATGTTGCATTACAAGAGCGGCTCGACAGAATGATGGGCGGAAGCGGTAAACACAGCGGTTTCTTGATTAACCCCTCCAGCAATACGGAAAGATAGAGATTTGACACACTTGCATAGAGAACTAACCTGTCCAATATCGTATGCATCAATTAAAAAACGGTCGGTAATGTAGATGCAATCTCCACCATGAAATCCTAGAATTTAAGACTAGCGAAGCACCGCCCGTCTGCAAGCGGTTAGCGCATGGTACGTTTCAATCTAAGCCAGTCGCTGTTCCATCGCGCTGTATTGGCATGTTTTATCTTCCATGATTTATTGCTCTCCAGATATTAAGCTAAATTTTCCTTTGAAAACATAAAAAACCTTAATTTCTAAAAAAAAGTCAACTTCACCTTTCAATAAAATGGAATACTCCAGTTTTGTGTAAACACATGTGAGAGGGTACTGCCCGTAATGTACTAGTAATAAACCATCCTGTAGTGCACTTCACAAAATAGATATAAATTTATCTCATTATATTGCTGAACCTCATGGTGCCATAGCGTAGTGGTAAAGTGCTCGATTCCCAAACCAGTGGTCGTGGTCGATTCTACCTGACACCTTTAGTAAACGTTCATACCCACACGATATAGAACTGCGAAAGCGACCGATTGTGTGAAGTGTATACTACTTATTCGCCAGTACTTTAAGTACTTAGCGTTGGAGCCTCCTCTGATATGGATGTGAGACCGGATGCTTTCTACAATCCAGAATCACAGCGGCTTCAGGCATACAGAGGATAATTGTGCACAAACCTTTTCATTAGCATGAAGGTACGCAAAACAAGTTTAAAACACATTATGTATCATAATATTCGTATTTCATATTAATTATGTCGTGCATCTTCTCTTGTCATGACCACAATTGGAGTATAATACGTATTCTGGCATTAAAGGGTGGGTCACACAAGATGGTGAAATCACACAATGGTGTCGCTCTACCGTCAAAAGAAGTCACTATGTGTCGGAACCTCTATATTAATAAGGTTTACTGTTTGATTAGGAAAAACTAAAGTACCTGATATAGGCGGCTTTGCCACATATAAAACAGATCAATACAGTTTGGATTTTAAACGAAATAATGTATTTACGTTGAATTAGGGTTGTGGGTGCTCTTGAAGTTAGCGGGTGCGATCCGCTACACTCATACTGGTTCTACTATAGAACGTAAGGTCGGTGACCGTAGCTTAGCTTCCTCTAAGCAAAGAGGCACGGCAGCCCCGCTGCACTTGGTAGCACTCTGTTGGAGCACCATGCGCCATGGATTGATTGGAGATCGCAGAGCCTGGGTGCCACACGTACGTCGTCTGCTGGAGCTTTGATGAGGCGTGATCCCACCTCTGCTAAAAGGAAGATACGCTATTGGCGCGAGCACTGAACCAGGATGGGCAACGTGCTGGAGATCGGAGTATCCGAGTTGATGAACACCGAAGGTGTCTCGGACAGGGGTCCCAACGTGGCGCGCGAGATGAACATGGGGTGGTACGTAGTCCACTGAGCGATGTTCAAGTATCGGAGCAGCTGTTGCATGCCACGTGTAGTATGGTCGAACGAGGCCAGAGGCATCTTGAGCAAGGCCCTTCAGATGCGCGTGGAGTGGCACGTTAACTACTGGACAAAACCTGGGGAAATAGCAGCTTTTCGTCGGATGTTGTTAATAACATCAAGGCTACGATGGAGCAGGGAGGAGAGACACTGGACGATGCTTAGTGCATGTTCCAAGTGGTCACCACGAGACGTAAAACCTCTATAGAGAGTATATATCGATGCCGTATGTTATCTGCAAGAGGCAGGGTGTCGACCCTGACCCAGGGTGTCTTCACCGTAGCCGAAAGCGCACAACTACACCGGTATGACGGGAGAGGATGACGGCGACGTCACCCTCGGGACCAATACCGCGGTGGATGCTCTTCTAGAGCTAGACAAGATGTACTTTGAAGAGTTTGGCGGCGCCTTTAAGGCAGGCAACTTAGCCGAAGTGTTCATCATACGGCCGGAAGAAGAGATCAACTCGTCGTCGCTTCTGGATGAAGCTGTCCTCGAGGACACCACGAGGGTGCTGAACGCACGAAGTGATTCTTCGATACTAAGGAATCCCTCATATTCGTACTATCCTTTGGTAAAGGAATTACAGGACGGCGTCACCAAAGACCCGCCGTCGGTCCTACCTCCGGACCGAGGTGTTCGTCATGAGCTCGACCTGGTTACGGGAACAAAATACTGCGTTTCACGCCAGTGTCCCCTGCCCAAGAAGCAGTGTGATGTCATTGACGCCTTCTTCCGTGCTAAGCACGACGAAGGAATGGTGCGTGAGATCAAGTGTCCCCATCCGAAACCGACGTTTTGTGTCCAGAAGCCTAACGGCAAGTGGCGTATCGTTCACGCTTACAACAAGCTCACCTCCTGTGTCTTTACAAAGGCAACTGAACGCTGCAGCCATTCCGACATAGACTAAGAATCCTAAGTAGGAACATCTTAAGAACAACATGGTGGGATGTACAAAGTGCAGCGCACTCGTCTTGGTCGATGGGTATTACCAATTGCTCATGAGAGCGAGTGGTGTTCTGCTGACAGCAGTAAGTACTCCGAGCGGCATGCTCTGGGAGTGGCTGGTGATGCCACAGGGGCTATCAAGTTCACCAGCAACAATCAATAGTCTTGTGACGCAATTGTTCAGGGCGTATGCACAGACATACTCGAAGACATCTTCATCCACAGTCGTGCGGGGCACCGCAGGACGGATGAAGAGAACATCATCGTCCGTTCAAGAGCGGTGCTCAAGTGCATGCACACGTAAAAGCGGTGTGCTAGTGCAGACAAGTGCATCTTCGACGCTGAAGTGGATCCCGCTAAGGTCAAGGCCAATGCGGACTGGCCACTTCCGAAAACCTATAAAAGACTTGCGCAAGTGGCTTGGCCTCGCCAACTACTTGCACAAGTCTAGCGCAAATTATGCATAAATACGGCCATTGTCTAATTTCCTTAAGAAGGATATGAAATGGACACCGAGCATCGGGAGGCTTTTGACAGAGTCGAAGACAGCCTCTTTCGTGCACCAATACGGGCGTTGCCAGACCCCGATCGTACTTTTAATGCGTATGTGACACTTCGGACTTTGCCATCGGCTGTGCACTGCTGCAAGCAGACATCGAAAGGCGGAATCGGGTAACGCGACCACCCGATCGCGTTGATACTCTCCAGCTTAAAGCTGTGGAGAAGAATTACCAAGACAAGGAATTACTTGCGATGAAATATGCACTTGTCAAGTTCAGGGTCTACCTGCTCGGCTCCAAGCCGTTTGTAATCTACACAGATTATGCGTCACTACGCATTGCGACTCAGTCGCCTCACCTCTCGCGGATGACCAGGTGGCTCTCCTTCTTTGCAGAAAGAACTTTGAGGTAAAGTATGAGCCAGGAAAGCAGAATGCTTTGGCTGATGCGCTGTCGCGCAGACCGGATGATGAGCTTACTCATGTCACGATGGTGATGTCGTCAGTGACAAGTTTGATCCGTGCCGCATATGCGGGTGATGATATGTGCGAAGCGGTGCTACGGGCTCGCGGGGGCGAGGAGTTTGAAAACTCGGACAAGAAATTGTTGTCGTGACTTCGTTGAAAAATGGGTTGCTGTTTTATGGCATTGATTCGACGCATACGCCTCGATTCGTGGTTCCTCAAGATGAGAATTCGAAGTACCGTATCCTTTGTGAGGCCCAGGACACCCCACTCAGTGGTCATCTCGGTCGTGAAAAGACCTACAGATCTGCGAGTTGCCACTACTGGTGGCCCAAGGTGTACAAATGGACGAGCACATATGTGCGCACGTGTGAAACGTTTCAAAGAGTAAAACCCTCTCCGAAGGCAGCGGCTCAACTGGCCAGTTTACCGGTTTCTTCCGGTTGTTGGCAGTCCATGAGTGTAGACTATATGTTTGGCCTGCCGAAGTACTCGGCGGGCAACACGGGTGTGGTGGTCTTTGTCGACCGTTTGAGCAAGATGGCTCACCCTGCGGCGTTGACGGATACCATCGACGGTGTGGGTGCAGCGACGCTGTGTGTGAATCGTGTCTTTCGAAAACATGGACTCCCGGAGTCAATTGCCTCTGACAGAGACCCACGCTTCACTGGGGAGTTTCGGTCGAAAATCTTCATATGTGTGCTGGGCGCCATGTCAACAGCAGACCATCCGCAGACCTCCATCACCCTTGCGCATACCAGCATCACGCGACTTGCTGCGCTCCCTACGAGGTGGCAGCGATTTATCAACGCCACCTGAGCCACCGCTACTTGAGGCTGCGAGGACTGGAGTTGGCTGTGCAAGGTTTTCTTTGACGCTAACGATAGGTTCTGCACTCATACATAGATAAATGGAAGAGAGATAAAACTGATAACATATTACTAATCGTCACCTTCGGGAGCGGCAGACATGACAACGAGCGGTGTATGGAATGGATGAGAATTATGAGCTTAGTCCTTAGCTAGAGAAGAAAGCGATGTCAGAGAATTGGTGATT